GCAGGAAACACTATCGACGAAGAGTCGCGCGATTATGGCGGCGCTAATGAACGAACCCGAGTAGGCTTCGCGCGCAAGAAACTTGCGTAGGTAATACCTATTATTTTTGCGCTCGCAGTCCAGAAATCTCGCGTTTCCTCCGCGCGTAGGAAAGTGTTTTTTTTTACCATTGTTCAAGGCGCGTTAAGGAATCGCGTTCCATCTTTATTTTCCTACGTTCATTTTTTCTCGTTCCGTTTCGTATTTTCAATTGTTACAGGTGTCTTCGTTCGCAGGATGAATGGATTTATGAACGTACAAAATTATGTAAATGGTCTTTAATTACGTTCGTTTTTACGATGTTTAAGTAATTGCTTGTTTAATTGGCTCGAGGATTTTCCGAGTACATACTTGTTCTAAGGATGCATTGAGTTATTGTTGAAGTGTTCTTTGAATACCCATTCGTCTTCGTGTAGTTGCTTTCAAGATGATATGTGATGTTATACGAATATCAATTTATCTTAAAGACTACGCATCCAACTGAATTCATATTTTCTTGTAATTAATTGCTTAAAGACGTCTAAATCCAATAGGACGTAATGCATTTTTTTTTTAAATATCAGATCATGCGTTCTAGCCATCGAAATCTCCAAACCGCCACTACTTCCACCTGACAAAACAATTTTTCCCGATTCTCTGGTCTCCTTAATATCAACCATAAACTACCAACGAATAAAAAAAATAATAATTACTCTCGAATAAAGCCTGCATCACTCAGAAAATGGATATGTAAATTCAAAGGTAGATTCTATTTTCATAAAACCAGGATGAATCTTATCCTCCACTCTGGAAGGATCTTCAGCGTCTCGAACGTCGTCGTCGAGACGAGACCCAAATGCCTTCATCGCGTCTAAGTTCGAGCGATCCTGGACCTGTGTTGGTGGAAAAGGTTAAAAGAGAGAGATGAGAGGCCCACGGTGCTAATGAACGTAACCGAGCCGTTGAATTCATCCGAAGCTTCGGTTTGCTCAGCAATTAGCTGGCCTAGCAAAGAGGAATTCACGGACGGCTGGTTTGTGTTTCTAGACCAACAGTACGCTTCAACGTTCGCGAAAAATGTCGTTTCGAGAACCGCCTTGACGGGTGCAACGGCCGATAATTTTTTCTTCTTCTCGAGATGCCTTCGAAGAAGACGAATACCGAAGTGGACGTGAAGATACTCGGACTTCACGGAAGTAACGATCGTCGCAAGGATTTTCTTCATTTACATTGATGGAACGCGATGACTCGTCGCTTTATGCATTCTTTTTTTTTTTCTTCATACTTCCGGTATTTTTGTAAGGTTCTGAAGCTGTTCGGAGGTTTCATTTGTAACACACAATTCATTTCTAAAACTAAAAATGTCATTAACCTTTATGGATTTTTCTATTGTATCGCTTTTCGACACTTACATATGCCAGAAGCTTATAAAATTCGTTATATATTAATTATTTTCATAGATCCATCTATAACAGCGTGAATTTGCATAAATATCTCATGATCTACATTATTCGTTGATTTCATATTTCGAATCAGTTCTCAGTTGTTGCATTTTGTGAAGTAGATCGATATCTTTCTATCCGATATTTTGATCCAGAGTATACACTCAATAGATGATCTAGGCTGTAATTTAATCCTCTCTATTTATCAAGGTACTGTTACCGAAGAGATGCGAGATCATCGGCCTGTAAATCGCAATGGTCCTCCGAGGACAGGTCAATCGAGGGAGAACCGTTTCTTCATCTTTCGAATCGTTCGGTGGATCTATGCAAGACAGACTCGCCGCTAAAAACCGCCTCATCCATCCACGATCACGTAATGATCGTTGTATACCGTTATTCTCGGTCAAGGTTCCCGACGAGATCGAATTGAAATATCTTGTCTGCCGCAGCAAACGATCTTATATATCTTTCCTTGCCTCTTCTCTCACTCTTTCTCGAATTAGGAACTCTCATGGTGGTGATTATCGATGGGGTTCTCAAGGCTGCTAATTACAGACTCTATTTCTGGGAATAAACGATCGAGAAATTGCGATGCAAATTTGTTAGAGGAAGATTTCGACGTTATGCGTTAATTACGGGGTTTAATGACCTTGATAAACCTTGCCTACGTATAATTGCATGTGTTTCACGAATATTCCACTTTTTAGGTATGAAGAATTATATTAACACATACATGACAATCAATCGATTGCTACATTTCCATATATTTCTGGACTTTTCGTATTCAAGGTCACATAAACGTGATGGCTATCCTAGACCATTCGGTTGGTCTTGACCTAAATTACGATAAAAACATGTGGTCCCTTTGAAAAAAATATCGATCACCTTGAATTCTCTAAAACAATGACCTTGAGAAGAGTTTGTTGTTCATCACAATATTTTCCCTTTCCAAGCAAATGTCTTCCCCTCACATTTTTTCCTATCATTAAAAACAACTGAGTTATTTAAAGTGCTCAAGTTAGGTGGGATCTTGTATATTTATATTTCACCTACTAATATATGGAAATCCTCCCAAGAGCGTATGGCTTTTAGTGTCAAGGCTGCCTTTGTCTGATTTCAGTCGAGATGTTGGTTAACCGTTTGAGGGGTACTGGTACATATGTGTACGTTTATTTTATTTATTTATTTACTTTAAAGTGTTCGTATTAACAATAGATTTATTAGCGACCACATATCTAGATCAAGTAGTTAAACAACATTTTACAGTTTGGATAAGACTAGTATCCACTTATAAACAGTCAAATTGGCCAATAGCTTTGAAAAGCTACATCACATTTTTAACGCTCTGGTTGTCGTTTGAGTTCATTTTCAAGTGTTTTTTGATTCAATATCGGTTCCTTTCTGTCGAAAGTCCAGGGGTTTTTTCTTTAATTCCAGAAAATACAGTGAACATTATTGTGACTAAATACTGACTAGAAAATTCCCCAACAAAAAAGGATACCCTACTAATACTGATTTGTTGTAAATCAAAAAAAATTTCTTTAAAGTATACATGTACTTCAGTAGTTAATACACATTATTATTAAATTACGTGTTCAGATCCTTCAATTTTACGATAAAATATGTAAGATGCAGAATATTGTCACTAGTACTGATTCAATAGTTAGGGTACTCCTGCGCCAGCAGAGATTTCCAACGCAACGGAAACACGAGAAATATCGTCGAGACGAATCGTCTAGAGAATGAGATAAAGAAATCCTCGTTGCGTCGGTGGAAACAATCGCCGCGAGGTCGTGGCACATGCTCGAGAGAGATACGAACGGAGCGAATAGGTTGAGGGTCGCGAGTGGCCGTTGACCCCAGGTACACATATACCTCTACCTGCCCGCGCGTACACCTGAGCGGCGAGTGTAGCCTACGACCACCTAGAACAGACTAGAATCCACATTGGTAATAGCTTCTCTAGTCTGCCGACCTTCCACTCGTAAAAACAAATATTTATGGACAGCACACCGCCGCCGCCGCCGGTGAAAGAACCGCGTCGCCGTAGCCCTTCGGCTCGAGCGCAGGCCACGGGGATTGTTAATTGCTCGCTGAACACCGGCGTTCATTTTCGCTCGGCGAAAGTACACAACTCGCAGAAAGAGATCTCTTAACCCCTGTCGTTTTTTGTTTCCTTTGACGCCGGTCACATATGCAATCGATGTGCGCTAACTTATTCGCGGCCGTTGACGTACTCTGACAAGCAAACTCGGTTTCCGCTAGGGGAAAAAGTGGCGTAGAAGAAAAGTCTTCTACCACTTGGTAAATTCATTCCAGGTAGTGAAATAAATGTTAAATCGAATATTAATTTCGTATACATCTCAGTAATTTTAAATACCAAGTGGTAGGAGCATGACAGAAGGCCCTTTCTTCTATGTCATTTTTTCCCCTAGTGGAAGCCGAGTTTGCTCCTAAGTGTACAGTGATTCCTCGATGAATGCGACACGAGCATCGGCGTTATTCCCATCACTGGAGGAGTCCCCCTGTGAAACCAATCAAAACAGAGTGTATAGAAAAAATAAATTTATGAAGGGCTGAAAATCTTTCCGCCTCTGCAGTGGACCCGAGTACGTCGCATTCATCGAGATATTACTGTATATAGAGAGTCTAACAAAAATGTTGGGGGACCCGGAAATGGGAGACCTGTAAAGTGATTTGAAACAAATTTTTCTGTAGCAAAAATGTTATCTGAGGCGTTGTTAACGACATATTAACGAAAAAACCCCGACCAATCAGAGCGCGTGTCTGCCAGCGTAGCCAACGTTACCGCGGGAACTCGACCGGCAGATTCGCGCTCTGTAAAGTATTCGCGCACCCTTTAAAACAGAACAACTTTTTTTTAAATTGGACCAAACGACTTCCAGTCTTCAGTTTGTTTGCGAAGTTAGAAGGATTAGCTTATGAATTGATGTGTCAAAAAAAATTTGAAAAAGTTCTCAGTGAGAACTCTAAAAGAATAACGTAACAATTCCTACGTTAACCCTGACTTAAGGGTAAATTAATAGATTTCTTATCGATAACCACTTACATTCAACAGTCTATTAATAGACTACCGGTCATTAAGCTATTAAGAAGAACCTTGACTATTACCAAGAACTTCAAAAAAGCCCCTCGACACTCGTCTGGACTCACCTTCTGCATTTCAACCAGTAAAGAAATAAACATACTTCGCGTCCCAGTCGATAAAGGACATTTCTCAGAAATCCAATACAATTAACAATTACGACCGGTTGATTCACCGATAATGGTCGTTTAGCCGTCTCGGCATTGAGCCGGTCAGATAATTTAATCGACGTATGTAAAATTACTTCGCGTCTTCCAGAGTGGAAGCCTTGAGTTAGTCCTCATTTTGCTCATCGTCGCGTATTCTTTCTCTCTCGTCGATCATCGATCCCCGTGTTCCCGCATGATCGTACTTTTACCGTGAATTGATTACCGATCGACGGCCTCATCGAAACCGGCCGTTTCTCATCGGTTACGTCATCCGGTCGGTTGCAGTATCCAGCCGGTGCGTCCAGCGAACTTCTGCCAGAGGACAGGGGAACCGATTATGCTCCACCTGGAACACTTCCGCCGAACGCGGAAACGATCTCCGCGGCGTCGAAGGATCTACTGAAACGATTATTGCAACCGGACCCGCGGCTGAGGTTGAGGTCTCTGCTGAGTCTGCAGAGGATTGCCTTCTACATGGGCTACGATCTACAGAGCTTCATGATGAAGAAGGTAAGTCTTTGCCAGATGTTGGATCTATTAGATATTTATTATTCGGATCGTTTATCAGGTCATTACATAAATAACGTACCTCCTACTGAATTTAAATTTAGTAAGAGGTTCAGAGAGATGTTGAATCGATTGGAAAATTCTTAAACTTTTTATCGGGTCATTCCAGAAACATCGTATTTCCTACTCTTAAATTCAATGAGGGCATCAAAATAGTAAGTGTATTGATAGGTAATCCACGATTTCTGCTTAATACCGTTCTAGACTGTGGGTATTTATACAAATATGTATAAATTCTTATGGACTGGTTTATGGAGATTGGGATCCAAGAAGAATATGTCTCATTATTAAAGGTTTTGTATGATTCTAAGTAAAATTCTGATTAATTTTTATTATATATCGTACACTACTGATTTTCAGATAATCGGGCGTACTATAAATGCATAAAATCCGCAGTCTACTGATAATATACTTTAAATTCGTAACATCTTTCCGTTCTTTTCTTCGCGAAATATGGCGGCGAGCCTCGAAAAAGAAGAGCAAATATGTATTAATAAAATGACATAGGCTTTTGATTACCAACAAAATTAATATTGAATCTGACAGAAAGTGTATTACTTATTGGTACATCTACTAATAATTTATCAATTGTGTGACATATTTTACTGTTTAGTTTTCAGTAACCCTTGGGGTGAATGTAGGGATCTGTGATATGACATTGTTCATTGATCGGATAGATTTTCTTGAGGTGCATTTTTAAAATTTTTTAAAAATTTTTACTTTATATTGGATTGCCAATAGATAATCAATTCTGTAACATACGATTTTTCAGGGAGGTAAAATAATTGTTAGGAAACAATATTTTTACAATACTTCGACTACGCATAGTATAATGATTAGACCGTGGATTTTATGATCGTTATGACATACATATGCAATTGCGCGTGACAAACTGAAATAATACTTTTTCACTGCAGTACAGCTTGTAAATTAAAAACCTATTCAGTTCGTGAAAAAATATTATTACTGAACGTTGCAAAATAATATATAATAAGAAATGGTAATCTAGTATTAATTTACTTTAATAGAATTTTAATTTTATGCTTACCTTATTCACGCCTTTAACAGAGATTATAAACTCTTTTTTGATCACTATACATATTTATCTATAAAAATGTGGATTCACGAGACATCCACTTTCCAATAACAAGTAACACATACTTGTCGAAGTCATCATGTTAAATTCTGACATTAATTGTATACTCGATAGTAATATTAAAAATTTCTAAAATATTTCCTAAAAATTGAATATTTCTAAAATGTCATCTAAAAATTAAACAGCTTTAAAAAGTTTTCTAATCATTCAAAATTTCTAAACAAATTTCTAATGACAGAAGTTAAGATATAAGCTTTCATTACAATTTTATCCAAGGAATCGCCATTTCGATTGCTTGGACGGAAGGTCCGGACTCATCAGGAACGAATGATCAAGGAGTTCTCCAACTTCGACTCCTCCTTAGGAGGCAGTATCTCTCGAGCTGACGATCGATGATCATTACTCTTTCGATTTCGCTAGTTCGGCTTGTGTGGAAACAATCTTGACTGATGCAACGACTGAATATCGTTTGAAATCGTTCTCACAGCTATTTTTGTAACTCTGTTGCTTATTGAGCAACGTCGACGCCATCCAATAGTTTACACGAGAGGAATTTCGCGTATTTTGCATAAGATTCAAAATTCTGATTTTTATATGTCTTTAGATTTTCTATTACGCTCTTCTCAAGCTGTTCTTAGCTTCCATCAGAAATGTTGCCAATGTCAGCGGCTTTAAATGTGAAAGACGAGTCGAGCTTTTGTACCGCAAAATGTGAGGGCAGCTGTTGTGTGCATTACGAAAGCGATTCTCTGAAATGTATTCTGTTACAAATAAAGATGTATCCTGAGCATTCAAAGTGGTTGTTATAAATGATTTTTTCCTTCTCAGAATAACATGGTTTAATGGTATGATAATTATTCTGTTAAGTGAGATTAGGATTAGCATTTTATGTCTATCTTATAAAAATTCCATATTGTCCTCGTTTGAAGTTTTTGATTTTCTCTATACATACAAGGATATTTCATTTATCTTGAACAACCATAAAATATTTATAGAAAGAATTCTGAATATTTACAGGGAGAACGTTCTTTTTTTTTAATAGGTAATACTGGTAGACAGGGTGTGATTCATTGCCAAAAAGTTTGTTGGAAATATACAATAAAAGTTTTTTGATGAGATTCTGTTTCTGAGAAAATCAATTTTACAAGTTTATGGAGTATATCGTACGTGTCCTTCATTTCAAAATATTAATGTTAATATATAAAGATGCTGTTTATCCTGGTTATTATAAAAATGTATAAAGAAGAATATTATTATCAATATATATGCAGGGTGTTTCGGAAATGATGAGGCAACCCGAAAAGATGTGATTCTACATGCAAAAGTAAGTGAAAAATGTAGAATCACATCTCACTAATCGTAAATAAGAAATTTGTAAGTTTGTATTTTGTTACGGGGTTTGGTGGTTCTAACGTTAATCCGTCTGTGAAGACGATCGATGAATAAACGATTGAAAAATGCACCGGGTACGGCCGTGTGGAATTCTCAGTTTACAAAAGTTTTAATTTCTTTAAGAATAGTTAACAGTATTTTTTGTTACAGTATTTCATCGATAATACAATAAATTGCGATAAATCGTAGTGCGTACAAACTAACAACAAAAAAAAGTAGGAGAACAGAAAATAGAACGGATCTGGATCGAAAAAACGCAACGCCATTGTTTTTTTTTTCCGGTTTCAATATCTCTTTTCTTTTTCGTTCCTCTCGCGTGTCTTTCTCTCACGTCTCGAAAGTCAACACGTGTTTGTCGAACGTTTCACTCGTTCGTTCGTTCGCCTATCGCGTTTCTCCGTCGCGGATCGGTTCTCGCCTCTCCTCGTCTATTTCGTTTTTTCGTCTTCGCGCGCGTCTCAATTTCTTTCTCCTTTTTCTCCTCCACGATTTTTCACCTCCCTCGCTCTCTCGCTCGGATCGGCGTGCTCCGTACGCCGGAGCGCGCGTACGCGATCGAAGTTTACTTTTTTTTTTTCTTTATGGTATAATAATAATCATATATATACATTATTATTCTTACACTTAAGAGGGTTCCTCGATTCTCGATAATATAATACAACGCACTCTCCTCGAAGTTTCGTAACCGAGCGACGCGTCGGCGAGCGATCGCTGCTGCTGGATCCCCTCCGATCGATCGAAGCAATACGGATAACACCGATCCGGTGTGGATCGTGCAATACCAAGAAAATTTCCGTGTTACATTTGTGCGAATATTTCCCAAGAATAATAACAATAAATAGAGTCTCCTCGAGCGGTCGAGGCTCGATCGCGGTCGTATATTATTCCCAAAAAATATGGCCACCAGTCTGGATTGTCATGATCGTTAAAACAAGAAAAAAAACAGAGTTCTTCAATAAATATACAAAATAGAATTAACGAGAAACAAAGCGTAAAGAACATACGCTCACGAATCGGTATATCACGTGTACCAGTAAGTAATTTACTATACATAGTTGCAATACATTTTAGATTCAAACTTCTGTGCAATCAAAATGGCGGACGATGACGGGAACAAAATAGGTTAGGTATATGAATTCTTTCGAAAAGAATACACAGAGTTTCACGAAAGAACAGTGAACTACTTATCGGTGCACTTAATATTACGATATCGTTCGTAGTTCCTCGACGAGTATATAAAACAGAATTAACGAGAAACACACGAGTAAAAAGAAAATAACGCGCGTTCGATGCCAGCGATCGTCCGCGAACCACGTCCGCGTTTCCTAAATTCGCCGTTCGAGTTTCCCCAGCGCGTCGACGAACATTACAAGCTCGGATACACGACCCATCGTCGGCTGGGGGTGTGTGCTTCGATTTCGTTTACAAAACAGAACGAAAGTTCGTTATTTACGTTTAATTCACTGCTACCGCCCCGCGACTCGCGGAGCTGTTTTGGTAAAAATCGGTCGGGCCGGCCGGCAGCCAGCCGATCTCGCGAGTTTCTCTGTTCCTTGCCACGTTTACTTCTTTTATTTTGTAAATCGCGAAGAGTCGTCGATACCTTTGTGGTACCGTTTTGATCCTCGCGATGAACACACGTTCGAGCTAGGAAAATCGTGAGATCGCTGGCCGAATGACGCGAAAAGCCCGTTCGCGTAGCGACCACCAGCTGCTTTTCTGTTAGTGACAAATTCATCCACTAACTCGCGGCTCTTGGCCGCTTTTAATCGACGTACTGTCTCACCCCTTTCCGCTCTCTTAAATTACAAGTTACCTTATTGTTGTTATGTCGTTATTGTTTATAATACCGCTATCGTAAGATTATTATGATACAAGTAGAATCGTCCGTTTTGCACGGCTAGCGACAATTTTTCTTTATACAGCCTGACTTTTGTTGCTTAGGTGTCGACACCTGGCCACTCTCGTTCTCACGCGTTCCGCGAATCTATCCATCGATTTCATCGAGTATCTTTCTTTTTTCTTTTTTTTTTGAATTGTGAAATATATTCCGTGACTCGTACGATTGTTCGTGAACTCGGTTGTAAATAGATTGGATAAATATACAATTCAATCGGTGAAAGCTCTGGCACAAAGGAAATAAATTCCACTCAGTTCCAATTCGTCTAGATTAAACATCTATTTAATCGTGGGAGTCTTTCAAATGTAAATTTGGATACATTCGATTCATTCGTAATTAATCATTGTATTTCTTCGGAAGAAACGGTCTAATTTATCCGGGACCAATTAGCAAATATACGAAAACAGTTCGTTAATAACAATAGAGAATGTGTAATACATTGATTTAGTTATATATACCCTGAAGAACGAAATTTGAAAATGATGCATGCCAATTATTTATGACTCAATCTAATACTCTTGTCCTTTATTAAATGGATCACAAGTAACTCTCTATTATTCGAACATTTTTCTTAGTTCATTTAAATTATCAATTAAATTTCATTGCATAAATACACACGTCCATATAGAAAAACGTGGAATTGTTTAATTAAATTGAAGTCAACAATTTTTAGTTTATACGAAAGTTTATATGACGCTGTGAATCCGACGACGCGTTCTTATCAGACATTGAAATTACCAGGGTGAGGCTAAAAATCTTTCCACGATACTATTACCAATCTATCCACTTGCAAATGCTTCACATTCTACTAAATTATTCTAAAAATTGGCAAAGGTACAATTCTTCTTCCGAACCCTAGCTGACCACCTGTCACGACACAAGAAAATCTTCAACGTCGCCAGGCGTACAGCGCCAATCAATATTGACTACCACCTCCATTATTTCATTATAAATAGACTGTAGACTTTATAAATTTATAATACACACGTCTGTCTAAAACAGAGTATAATAAAAAATTTCATGAAGTGTACCGAGACTTTTACTTCATTTGGAACCTAATGAAACCTTTAATGGAGTAAACAAACGTCTGTAACTTATTCCACAGAAATGAATATTAGTATAAATACCTACAGTCTAATTATAATGCTTCATTGTTTACTGGAAAAGAACTTCTTCGACGTGAAATTTCGCGGACCGAGTCCACTGAGCCGGCACAATTGGAAAAAAAAATTACGAGGACAGAGCAAATCGAAACTGCACGAGGTTAATTCGATTAGATCATAATGACAGGAAATTTTATTAGATCCTATTCTCACGGCGAGATATCTATGGTATTAGCATTTCCTCGACAAAATACATTTTCGATTTACTCGAAGCGCGATACCCCGTCCTCGTGCCGAGCGATCCACAGACGCAGCGTCGGCCATTGTTATCATCGTCACACTACCCATAATTGTATCGCACTTTTTTCTCTCTCTCTCTCTCTCACACGCACACACAATTCGCGCATCTCAGCTATACCGTCGTGGCGAAAATATCCAACAACAATTGTTATCTGGTTCGCGCGTGTCTCTCTCCTACATCATCGTCCTCACTTGTTTCTTTCAATTTGTACACAAAATACCAACTATCTGTGCTGGAAAACGCACATACTGCTTGTACGCCTCGATATAATAATATATATATTATATATATATATATACACATATATATGTGGAGTGGTCAAGTAGGAATTGCGTCGCGTTATTGCATCATATAGGTGTCCGAATCTAGAACTGCGTGCGAGGAACGTGTGGTGTGCGCGTATGCGTGAGAACAAACGAAGATCGAACCGTCCGACGTACATATTCGCATTCATTAAAGTATATTTTTATTGTTTTCGTTATTACACTAAATCTCGTCTATTTGATACCTGCCAATCCTACATATACATATATATGTATATATATATATGTATATATATATTATATATCTATGTATATATGTATAATATTTATATATGTATACGATGTGTCGCGTTTTTCTTCTTCTTGTGTTAGGGCGCCAGTTTTGTTTCTTTTACCTAGGATTCAATATTTATAAGTACTCCCCTTCGTTCTGCCATGCGTAATATCGTAGCGTGTAGCGTGGATCACTATTGCGGTGGTTTACAATTTTACGCCTATCGGCGTCAAGAAAAATATTTACAGTTTCCGTTCCGTTTTTTTTCCCCTCGAAATTTAGTCTAGTACATGTTACGTACGAGCGTGTGTGTGTGTACGACCCACGAGATGGGTGTCACGGTGCGACGAAAAAGAAGAAAAAGAACGAAAATTGAAAAAAGAATCAAGGAAACGAATAACAGAATGAAACATGAGAAAAATCCTAGAAAAATTCACCTGTGCGTGGGATTCCCCTCATTTTTTCCCGTCGCTGGTTTCGTTCTTTTTCTCTCGTTCGTCTCCCAATGCAATACGAAACACATTTCATTTTCGTCAATCTTCACGCAGATCTTTCTTCGGAAGGAATCAAAACACTCCCGGTGTACACTCACTCACACACAGCACACGACATAAAATACACTCGGAGAAAATGGATTACACACACTTTTCGTCGACTACACGGTAGCCATGGCGCCTCGACCAATGGGAACGAGAGAGAGACGCTTCAACACCCTAACCGTAAATTCCTCCCCGTATCACGCGCGTTCTCCCCTCTCGAAGGTCGTCGACTGTCTACCTGCGCGCCTCGAATACTTCCATGAACCGAATGAATTTCTACGCGTATGTTTCTTCTCATTTATTATCGTTTCCTGAAAATATCGAACAGCTGAGTTCACCGACGTGTTGCGGCGAAAGTATCGATCATCCGATTCTCTCACCTCATTGGACGATCGTTTTAAAGCTAGATTTTCTTCTACTTAAGAGAGTGGGGAAAATTGATATTGCGAGAAACAGCGCGACGATCGAATTTTCCGTCGAAAGAACAGGCTAAGTGACTTCGGGCTACTCTCGATATGGAAAATTCGTCCCCTCTGTGTATCGTCTTCTTGTCTTTCGTTTGCTTTTGCGCGCGACCGCTCGAAACAGAAGGCGTCGGCGATTCTGCATGCGGGTCGAAGTTACGGCGGTTGACAAACTTTTTGAAATTTTCAGGTTGTTGCATATAATTTGGCACGATTAGATTTTCACGTGTTAGACCGGGAAAAGTTCTATAGAAACTGGAATTAAAGAGAAATATATTTCATCTGCTAAGGGATTTGTTAAATTTGAACAAAGACAAAAAGTTCATTAACAACCTGAAATATTCCTCTTAATTTCATCGATCGATCGCCGATTTGTAAATTTCGCCTCTGCGTGCCAATGATTAGCCGGCTGATTGGTAACTCGCCTCGCGATCGTTTAATAACTTCCCTCCACGATCATCGAAACGAACGGGGTGGAGGTCACGTTGTAAACGATGACGATATAACAATTAATGATGAACCATTAAACGTGCGCGCTACGTATACTCCTGGACAGAGCGGTGTGTGTTGTGTGTGTGTGTGTGTAATTGCACCAAAGCATCGTGTTTCTTTCGTCTCTCGATCTTTCGCCGGTTAATCGAGCGTCTATTATTTTCCTTTTTTAAAATAGCCGATAAGCGTCAACTCCTCAAGGCAGCTCCGCAAAAGAGAGAGAAGGAGAGATGGATATAGAGTGATTACCTGGCAGTAAAGGAAACAAAGAATAGTATTCTTGTCGATTCGAACAAGATTGTCATTGACTCCGCGGCGGCGTGGTTCCCCTTAAAACGTTTCATTAATCGCAATCGACCGTTTGAACAGGCTTAACAAACTACACGTAACGGTTAACTTGAAACACGAACGACGACGGCGGGGTCGTCGTCGTTTTGAATTATTTAAAAAGTTGGCATAAAATCACGAGCGCCCGTGGAATTATCGTATAATCACATTACAGCCGGCAAATACCATTGAAGTTTCAGTTTCTTATTAGTTTTTCTTTGGATTCTCCGTTAAAAAAAAACGAGGTATCCGTTTTGTTCATATCGAAAGTATTTCTTCCGACCCTCCCCCCTTCCCCACATTAGAATCTCTATTAAACGTCAACATATAAAAATATTCGAACTAACGCATCTTTAATTAAAAAAAAAAAAAAAGAAAAGAAACGAAACTAAATCCAAACCTAAATCATCTACGATCGGGTTCCTCCCACGCATCTTTCGTTACATCATCCTCGAACGTGTGCGATGTGTCCACGCGATTGAATCCTCCTCTCTCGACTCTCTGAGTATTTCCCCAAGGTATTCACAAGACGTTATCACACGAACGGTAAAGAGTTAAAATTCGATAAATCGTTTACGTATACACACGACGATGCCAGGTGACTCTGAGTTGCCAGATTTGACTGTTTCCTGTCATCGATTTGGGAATGAATGTCAAGTTAGCGGGCTGTCTGCTTAGCATAGTCAAACAACGTGTGCATTGCGCGCTATGCGGGGATTAATGGCGACGTCTTAAGCACGTTTTACCAAAATAATTACGTAAATAAATAATTTCTCTATTATTATTTTGTTTGTTTTTCTTTTTAAATTTTATCAATATTGCATATATTTGAAGGAACCTTCTTTACATTTTTCAAATGTCTCACGTGCTTAAGACGTCGCTGCGGATTAGTACCATTAATTCCCGCATAGCCAGAAGTGCGCACATTGTTTGACTACGCGAGACAGACAATGCATCAACTAGACATTTTATCCAAGTCGATGACATAAAACAGTCAGATTGGCAATCCAGCAGGTGACACTGATGAGCTAGCTTTCCGATGGCGATAAAACGAGAGGGTGATTTACAAGCTAGAGGAAAGAGGCTCGTTCGCGCGCAGACATTTTCATTTCGTCCTCGATCGCGAAAGGTCTTTTTAGGTTCGATCTACGGTTATTATATCGATCTAACTAGCGCCACCCTTGAAACAGGTGCGCTGGGTCGATGATTATATCTCTACACGATAGGAATTCGCCTTAAAAGACTGGAAAACTGTCCGGCGATTCGCCGAGAACTAGAGGGAGACACGCAACATGCTACTTTCATCTTTAACGTACAAGAATGAGCGAAAGATCGTACAAAATGGAGTCTTGTTAAGCGACGCTTTTCTGTCTTTCTTCTATATTTTCGTTTTTTTTTTTTTTGGTTTCTTGATTCTCTCTCAGTCGTGATTCGCCGCGATTACATGCCGGAACGTTAGACTCTAATGATCTACAAGTGGCTCGAACTCTTTGAGAATCGTGCGGGATCTAGACCCTCGCTGCTACCGAACAGGCGATTGTTAAGTCGTTTCACGAGTCTTTGTGTCTTTTATGGTGCTTCTATTGTGTTTTTAACGTATACCATTGGAGAGTTTTGAAACTGTGAAATGTTTCCTGCTTTATGTTCAACCTTTGATCGCTGAAATAACCTCGAATAGGAAATATTTTTTGTAATTAACAACTAATGCGAAAAGATTTTTGCTTATCCACGGTTAGAACATTGGAAATATTTATTCCAGTAATTCTTATTCTTTCGTAAACAATAATTTAATCACTAACTGAATGTTTAAGAATAACTTAACCGATGTCTGTAACAAACCAACATACCCAGATAACCGTTTGCATGCAAGTTGGCAGCAGATTGACAGCAGATAGTGATGAAATCTGTCTGCAAATCCATAGCCATCTGTTTCCGCATTTGGCTTTGGTTTTGCAGGCAGAGCATGCCTGACAGAATCGCGAAGCAGATTTGTGACAGATTGTTTATAGCAGATCCTGCATCAACTCTGTAGCCATTCTGATTACAAAAGCTCATAACAGGCACTGGACAAAATCTGGCTGTGCAGGTTTGGCTGACTGGGTATCAATTCTACAATACAAAGAAGTCACAGATTAGTGGAACTATATCCTGAACATTCAATCACGTCCAAACACTCTAAGACCTCCAAAACCGACTTGATAAAGTGCTCGAAGATCCGCCATTGTCATGCTCAAAATCGATGAAAAATTTCAAAATACTTTTCAACACGTTCTCGCCTACCCGAAAACACGTCTACTTAATAATCCTTAAAAAAAATTCGTACGTGTATTTCTCGATTCACACGTTCATCGAGGATAATTCCGTGAACCCCTGTAGACATCAAGATCCCATTGAACGTTAGCGACAGGGCAAAGGTAAAAGGAAAAATTCGCGAAAGCTGTCAAGCTCCAATCCGTATACCCACACTGTTTCGTTTGGCATCGAGTAAATGCAACCGCTTAAAAAGTATATCCAGCACGGAAGTTCTCGTGTGGGGCCAGGGAGACCGGAAATCTGCGCGCGAACGAGCCTCCGCGGTTTGAGAAATCGTCGAGTGATCCCCGCCGCGATTCATTCGGCGCGGTTCACCCTTATCACAAATCTTCAACGTCGCCACGAGTCGCGGTTCGTCGTCAGCGTAGAACAGTGATGACGGGCGACGGTTGAATCGGCGATGGTTGTTGGGAAACGATGATGACGATGACGACGACGACGACGACGAGCGACAGCAACGTGAAAAAGAAAACCACCGTGAAACATCGACGAGTACCGGGCGCTGTTCTTCCAAGGTAAAATTCCACCCGGAAGCCACGATACCCGAATTTCATTTTTTATCCAGCCTCAACGCGAGGCCACCGCACTGCACCTTCACCTATACCCGCACCACACTGTAGCACCTCAACACATTGCGATTGTCATGGCCTATGGAACCTGGAACCGATGAATCACAAGCAGATCGTTAATATTATTATTTACAGGGACGTTAACCCTCGGTCGGCGATCGATGGCGTCACTTTCACTTGCTTGTCGTGTTAGTCATGGATCAGACTGCGGAATCTATGTATTTATGGGAAATGTAAAATGAAATGGAGTGTAACAATTTTAACACGTTGACTGACACAGTGAAAAAGGCCGTACGTAGCCAGACACACTTTAATTTTGCTTTTTAACCCTTTAACGCGCAGACGTTTAAATCGTTATTTCAAAATTATAAAACTAATACGTATGTTGTATCTCTTATCTTGAAGTCGAAAATGTCGAGATTAAACAGCCTAATTTTTTTCTTTTTTTATTTATGTTTGGAAGGAATATTTGAATTTTACATCACATCAGTGAAACTCCTTATCCTTGCTGACAAAAGTTAGGCACTAATCGGCGAGGGAATTTGATGCACTTTTAAAATGACTGTTGCACCGGTGCAACAACGGGAATTAAAGGGTTAAGTCATATATCGTCGGAAATTTATGTGTTTAGTTAATAGAGGTTGTTGGTCTTGTTTTAAATTATACTGCGATACTAAATTTACGGTTCACGTTATAACGGTATTTAAATAATCCAGGCTCTTTGCAAGATATGTGTCACCTATATTTGAGTGACGGGGCAGTCAAAGTGTTAACAGATAAATGGTTGTTGCAAGATTTCGCAAGTTGGTCTTGGACAGAGATGGGCAAACTCAGTGTCTAGATAAAGAGTTTTGAAAATAACAAATAAATAAGGAAATGTACTTCACTATTTCCAATTGATTAAACGTGGAAATTCGAATTTTTATAATAAAATAACATTTCTTCTACTTGAATGAGTGGACACTTGCCAAACCATTATTTAATTTCATTAACTGTTTAAAGGTCATTAGGACGTTGTTAGATACTGCTGCTTTTCACTGTGTATTATTCGAATACAATTGTGCCCAACTCTGGTCTTAGGTGGCTATGCATTTGTTTCTTGTTGGAGGATGTTGGGAGATGTGTATGTGCCTTTTGTAGAGGAAAAGGATATTTTTATGTGGTGAAAAATATTAAGTAAATGGAAACGTTATTATTGCAGTTTTGGTAGATTATTGTTTCATACAAATCTGATTTGTACGAATATCCGCAGTCTAAAATGATTCGACAGTCGTTGATCGTGACGCTGCTCGAGCATTCGCCGTACGAGGGTCAGATGGTGCACGGGTGAACAGACTTCTAGTCTTCGTGGGACGTGTGACACATTCATTGAGAGGAACATATTTAACCCTTCGGGGACAGATCACGGACATTTCCATTGACATTGTTGTTTCTGGACGATATCCGAATGATTATTTGAATTCGTTCCTTAAAAAAAAAGTATTGTCTCGGGGTGGAAAATTTGTGAAATATAATTGGTTAGAGTAGGGGGATCTATAGGGGCTATAGATAAAAAGTGGCTGTGTCGAAGAAAAAAACGAAAATGTATAAATATGAATATACAGAGAGAAGAATAGAAAGAGAAAAGTGTGTAGAAGATGCAAATGCATTGATAAACGAATCAAAAGTTAATAGAAGAATATTTGGAATTAAGAACTAATGGTGTATGTAAACGTGTGTCTTGTTTGGCCTTGTGTTCTGAGTTGTGGCGAGTGTTATTGTAGTTTTTCTTCACAGATTGCACTGGAAATTGTGTAAAACCGATTTAGACGATCGATGGTATCTTCGAAATGTAAGGTGACAATTTTATTTAAAAGAAGGTTAAATATTACGTGTAAAGTAAATTGAATACAAATTTTCAACGAAGAAACAGAAAAAAACTTTTCCTTGCGCCTCATAGAACACACGTTTACATCGACTAATTTGATCGGTTTATTAGAAACACCTGGTATGTGGGTGGAATCAAATGGTGCACACATCCGTCTCGTGCGTGAATTCGCAGAAAATAGTGAAGAATATATAGTTCATATGGGGAAGGGACATACAACTATATGTTTGTAATATCATAGAAAACAAATGATTACGAAACAAGGAATAGTAAATTCACGTTACATTTAAAGTGTGTGCGCCAGTGAGCCGGCTAATTGGCTACCTTCTGTGGTGTCTATCGTCTACTTCCGGTGTGGGACAAAGGGCTTGACGAAAAACTACGTGTGTAACTCGACAGAAATGAACAAGAAAGAAGCGAAGAAACGTTTTTCTTTTTTTCTTTTCTAATCGACAGAATTAAAATAGGCGGGAAGACTGGAGTCTGGTTGTCATTGCGATACCTGCAGACGGTAACCAGGTCTTCGTATTGGTGTTCGAAAGACACCGATTCATAGAAAACTGTAACATGTAATTGATGCAATAAAATCAATGAAAATTGTTCCTGTTCATGTGTGTAATTAAAAGTCATTGAAATAAACTTATAAGTACAGAAGTCTTCTGTGTGAGTTAATAATCGAATTTGGAACTCCTCCGTCCCCAGAAGGTTAATAATGTTAATTTATATATCATTTAATAAAAATTTTGCTTCTTGTTTAACAGTTGAAAATTCCTGTCGTTAAACATTTAGTTTAGTTGCACTGTGATTAAACAAAGTATTTTTACTACTAGAACAACTAAATACCTAACATTCTAATCATTTTCCAAGGAGGGACACTAGTTTTTTATTTTTCATGTTTTTCTAGTTGATCAACGTGATATTTTACTCAGAATAATTTTGAAGCAGTTAGCAGATGCATACCTGGTGAGGTGTCGGCTGTCTTCATGAACGGCCATCTCCGAACTTTTAAATTCGTTCAACTCTTTCCTAATGGCTGCTTTATCCTTGGGAGTCAAACGCATCCATGGCTTGTCGGCCCTTCTGTCGTAGTCGTGTGCCTGCGTGACTTCGATGTAGTCGTTGAACCTGATGATCTACAAAAAATATTACGATAACATATTTGCCTTGTTTTTCCATGTATTCTCCGCCCGTAAATTTTCAAATACTTATATTCGCGCTACGCTTGTACTACGAAGCTCATTCACTATTACGGTTTTTCGTTAATATCTCGGTAACGAAGCCTCAGATTACATTGTTGCTAAGAAAAAAGTTGTTCCAATTCACCCCCCGAGTGCCCCATTTCCGGGTCGGACAACATTTATGTTACATCCTGTATATTGAAAATAGAAAGAAAACATACCTTCTTTTCCTTAAGCTCTTCGACGGTCGGTCGAAAACTGAGCTTCCGCAGCAGGTATCGTTTCTTCTCCTCCTTCTGTTTCTTCTCTTCGGCGGGACTTTGCTCTGCAAGACAGGTTGCAGTTAATTTGAATCGTTCCTTTCCTCACCATATAAGAATCTCAAAGTTAAACTGTTTGACTCCACTTTATACATCCTGACTTCTTATGATTATATTTTTTCAAATTTAGTGTTCTATATCAGTCAAACTTATACTGACACTTGCGTTGGAAAAACATAGATCACTGGACTGCAATAAATGAATTTTCCGTATAAACAAAATTTATCATTATCAAAGTTTTGCCTTATAGAAATGACCAATTTTATTTTTAATAACTTCCAAACAAATTATGGGTATTCTATCTATTAATTTCTCAACATATCCTTTATTGAAATTATCCTGTTTTTTTTTTTAAAGACACTCTTAGAGGTGTATGGTACACGCACAAATAACAGAATACGCGCATAAGCAAAATTCGATAAAATAAAGAATTTTTGCGAAGTGTGGTTAGAAAAAGAAGCATTCTTTTACTTTCAACATATTAATAAAGGATTGTTTGTTCAACTAAAAAATATAATTGCTTTCAAATCTTTTGACGGTAGTGTACATGTTAACATGTTTTTATCGTGCATTAGTTAAAAGATATTGTTTACATCTAGTTCAATCTTTTTCAATTTTTATTTCGTAGAATTAATCAGTATGAGTTTCAAGGGGATTAATGTGTATGTGGAAAAGTGATTCAGTGACGAAAGGTGAAGCTTACTTTTCAAGATATTCCGCTCCTCGAGTTCCTCTTGGGTTGGTCGCATGCTCAGCCGCCTGCAATGACAATGTCACGGGAATCAGTGCAAGTCTATCGGTGTTAATCCGCTTTTCTCGAGCGACGAGAGGAAATGGGACGGACGGTCGAGGGAGGGTGGTGAAATCCACATAGAGACAAACAAGTGATTCACCGTGGGTCAACTGTTCGTTTGGTGATCCGGTGTGATCTCCTTTAAACACATCAGTCGGCCTAGCCTCGTGCTTTTCATCGCGAACAATGTATAACACGATCGGAATGAAATAGCGCATAACATTAATCGGCTAAACTATAATAGATGTGGACACATTGAGGAGTTAATAGACATCAGGCATGAATAAATTACGAATTAGATGAATTCGATCTGAAAAGATCGTCGAAAAAATAGCTGAGGTCTGAATTATAAAGAAATGAATAAAATAAGGTATAAATGTATTATATTTGGATATATTAAAGGTTGTATAAATTGTAGGTTGTAAAGATTAGATTTGAAATGTTCGGAAAGCTTGGTAAATTCGATCTGCAAAGATTGAGGAATAGATAGCTGAGGTCTGAATGTATAAAGAAATGGATAAAATAAGGTATAAATGTGTTATATTTGGATAAATTGTAGGTTAGATAGATTAGATTTGAAATGTTCGAAAAGCTTGGTAAATTCGAGCTGAAAGGATTAAGGAATAGATAGCTGAGGTCTGAATGTATGAAGAAATGGATAAAATAAGGTATGAATGTGTTATATTTGGATAGACTGAAGGCTGGATAGATTAGAATTGAACTGTTTGAAAAGCTTGGTATTTTCGATCCGGAAAGATCGAGCCTGAGATAGATTAGATCCGGATGGGTCTAGATTACATCTAAATAGATCGAAAACTAGGTAAATTCGATTTGAAGGAGCTGATATATGAATAGATTAAGGATGACTGGGCAGTCAAAGAAATTGAATGTATTTCTTTCTATTCACCAAACAGGATGGTATAGTAAACAGGAAATAGAATCCCCCTTATAATCTGCGTGGCATAACTATAAAGCCACCTTAAAATTTTCAATTCTAATTATGGTTAAAATAAAAACGAACTACGTATGCTATGTCTGAAATCGTGTTGAGAAATAACGTTTCTCCAGAAATGAATAGATTATATTCCCTATAAATAAAAGTTGTTCGTTTTTATTTTAACCACAATACATAAATGGTCAGACATTTTCACATTAGACAAACGACTACCAAAAGGACGTCTCAAGACTACGCGGCGATTTAAAAATGACCAGAATCGTGATGGAATTTCGCACGTCTTGGACTCCCGGCTTCCGAATAAACAAACCCCCGCGTTCCTCGTATATTCCTAAATTTAGGAATTGCACGATTCTTCTGTAGCCGTGGCGGTGCGTCGATTCGTGGAAAGGTAACTCGACAGCCGGCAATCAATACCTCGAACGATTCCGGCTTGCATTTCTATGGGCAACTATGGTATTCACGGCCGCACGAGGTACGAGAGGATTCAACGTACGTTTAAATGCACGTGATCAATGAGGATCATTCGAATAACGTCGGCACGATTTTCATCGTTTTCATCTCTATTTCACGTTCCACTCAGGAGGCGTTCTAAATTTAGGAATGCACACGAGACGGTTTCGCTTATAATTTTCTTTTATTGGACGATAGATGGATCGTTGGATGGATAAATGGATGATTATGTTCTTTGATGACGTATAAACACATGGGGATACATTTGACGCGAAACGGTTTCTATGTCATTTAAAAGGTACCAAACTATACCGTTGTTAATTTTATAGTAGCTATAGTGTTGTACCTTGTTCGTTTTTTTTATACTTTGCCAATCATCTTTTACAGTTACTGTTGCACCATAATCGTTTCTTATGATGTTTTAATACTTTGACTGCCACGTCACACAAATATGGGTAATTGAAATTATTTTTTTAATGATTCTTAATGGGTATAAATACCGTTACAAAATTCTGCGTAAAATTAATATCGCAGTATAATTTAAAAGAAGGCTAACGGCCTCTATTAACTAAACGTATTTTCGATTATTTATGACTTAAAAACGAAATAAATCGTGTCTGGTTATGTACGACCTTTTTCACTGTGGCAGTCAACGTGTTAACTATACAGGAAGCGGCCGACAGAATGTCACAAACGGGCAACAGGTGATTCCTTATGCAAAAATAAGTCGAAAATTTAGAACAAAATTTTTTCGTTTTAACGCTTCATTTTCGAGATGAAAATTTGCTGGACACACGTGCAATTGATTTCGACTTGGCACCCGCGTCTGTCCATTACGTTCTGTTTCTACTTATTCCCAGTACAAATACATGCATTTTATAGACGAATTCTCAAAATCGATTTTCTGCAATACTGAGCCCCGAATGAACAATTTTATTCTCCACATACGATTTATTTCTGCATAAGGAATCATGTCCTACCCGCTTGTACTATTTTTTCGGCTCCACCCTGTATATTAATTGTTTTAGATTTAGACAGACGACAATGAAGTATTTGAAACTATATTTTAAGCTCCGTAAACCATAAGGATTAATGCACTGAATGAGTTTCTGAGTTCGATAAGACTCTTCCACTAAAAATCTTCTCAAGTAGCTTCTTTTTATCAAGGATCAGAGTTTTCAGATAGGGAGACCGGGGTTAAAAGTAACAGGGGTAGGTTGTAACAAGGCTTAGAACTTTTTAAATAAAACAGACAGTGCTATAATAAAAAATAGTCAATAAATTATGATAATTAATTGATCTCATTAAGAAGCTAATGTTGAGTTGTTAAAAAGACAACTTATGGTGTGTTGAGTTCCCATTGATTAAGAAATAATATTGTGTTGAGCCAATTAAATAGAAAACTATAATGTTACGTTGATTCTTTGCAACTATTAGCTAGTTCTAATTATTTTTTGTCTTCCATTGGGCACAATTCTGCTAAATCTATTTCTGATACAACCTTACCCCTCTGTTGTTACTTTTTACCCCAAAGTGGGGCTATAGAACTAATCTTGAATCTCCCACCTGTCTTTAAATTAATATTAAATCTCTAGCTAAAATATAGACCTTTTTATTTTATGAAAACCAAAAAACTTTCTACCTGAGTCTCTCCTACTCGTGGTTGTTTTTCTCGATTAAGCCGTGAAACGTAATGTTCCCTTTATCCGTTGCGAAAACGAAAGAATAGTCGGAGAATATTTTTACCTGATGAGCTTGGCACCAATTGCCTCCTTCGTTTCCTGCCTCTCATTGTCCGTCTGCAGCTGAAGGATGTTTCTGTTGATAAGCTCCTGCCTGTCTGGCCTGAGGGCGAGTTTCAGCGACAGCGATTCCTTGCGCGCAATCTTTGCTGCCAACCGGCCTGCAATTTGAAAAAAAAAAAAAAAAAAAAAAAGAATTAGTCCCTTAATTATATTGTCGGTCGTTTACATGCACGAACACAGCCCGCTTAATATCTACTTCCACTTTGTCCCTCCACTGAGAACGTTTCGTCTACTCACGAAACTTTTTCAAGTAATTTTGAGCACAGGTAAAATAGAGCAACAAGAAATAAATCACGAATATACCGATGTTATAATTTTTCATCGGTAAAGATACATTTACTGAAGAAACTCAGGTAGTTGTCTGACAAAGTTGTAAAGTCCCCAGCTTAGTATACCCCAATTTTACTACTAAAATTTATGAATTATCGTACACGTGAACCTTCAGAGTATAATAAAATATAATTCATGAATTTTCAAGAATCTACATATTTTCTTCTCATCGCAAAGAACTCCTTAATAAACGAAACAAGTTCTTCTTTAGTTCCTCTGTTCGTAAATAAAATCATTAAATATCTGCATATTATATCTATACAATTGGCATCTAAAGAGTATAACAACTCTGTTCATAAAAGCGTCGGATCACTCTAAATATAAGTTTCACGTTCACATCGGTTTCACTTAACCCTGAACAATATCACAATGCCACAATCCCTTATTTCTCGATCCTCAATTTCACCTGGACTCGCCGAAAAAGCTCGAAAATCTAGAGTATCCTCACAGTTCCAACATTTATTATCTAGAATCTATAGAACGTCACGAACAAATCTTATAAATGTCCTCGCAAGTGGACATCATCGGCGGGCTCTGAATCTTCCGTCGATCACAATGCGCGTTGAACTGCGCGGCGGCTGCGGCATAACAACGCGCGTCTGCATGTAACATACGTATCGAACATCGACCGATCCAATACTAGAGGCTATTATCGAGACGAGGCACGCAATAATCTTTCGTCGAAACGGTTTTATTCTATTTCGAGCGCGGATTTACCGTCGACGACAGAGAAGCAGCTGATGCTGCGGCGCAATGGTGGCTCGCGTTTGCATGGCCCGATCGTGGCGCAGGCGATCGACAGGGTCGACGCGGTCCATATCGACAGCATGGTGACATCGCCGTGTCCTCTATCGACGATCTACCACTTAATATCCTTTTAACCCCCTTTAGAATCTTCTCGACTCCACCGTGGACAAAATTTCACAGAATTACACTCTATCCACCATTGGAAAATTGTCTCGATTTTGATCGAACTTGATAAACATCGATCGAGATGATTTGTCGTTTCGAAGAAGAGTTTCGTTCACTTTTATTCACAGAAATCAATTTTTTCGAACCGTGAAGAGTTTCGTTGAGCGGATTGACGTTGTTTTTTTCTTTTTTTTTTATTGTAACTCGAATTCTCGATTCACAGCTGCTCTCGAAAGAGAGAGACGCGCTAAACGGTTCGCGGAAAACCGTGGCAAAATAACGACCATGAACACACTGAGCTGCGCGCCAGCTATCTTCGGGGATTAATATAACCTTCGAGGTGTCTGCGTGACGATCGTGTATTTGTGTGCGCGATATAAACGTATCGCGTCCCGTGGTATAATTAGTACGGTCCGCGATAGATGATTCGAAGCTGTTTCGCAAACGAACCGTGGTTGCTCTTCGTTGCTCCCTTCGCGAGTTTGGGTTTCGGTGAAGGTCTTGGCCCTTGGGGAAATTGAAATTGTACGAAGACCACTGGGGAAAACGTGATAAGTCACATTTTCAGTTTTTATTTTGTAGGAGAGTAATTTTAACCCTTGTGTACTGTTCAATTGATTGTTGTATAACTATTCCTTGAATTAACTTAGACCGGAAGTAAATTAACTCTCATACGTCCCTCATTCCCTCAACTTAAAGGGGAATCCGGTGTAAACAGGCTAACAATGAATTGATTTTTGGGAATTTTTTGTGAAGAAATTATTACATCAATCTCTTTGAAACTTTGAGAATACTTTAGTGTACAATTAACACTAGAAGTACCAAGCAAGTCAAAATGACGTCAACACACTCTTACAACGATGATTAAAATTTTATGACAATACATTTTCTCAGATCTTTTGCACCTTTTATTACGATATGAAAGCGAAGAATTTAGTAATTTATAAATTTTTCTAGTGTTAAACTGAATACGAAAATTTTTATTCTCATGACATATCTTTAAATATTATAGTTATAAGGAAATTTAAAAAAATATTGTCATAAAATTAGTTATGCCCTCGGTATTTTTTTGACAAAACTTTGCTTATCAGCTCTCTGCCATCTTAATAATTAGTGGTTTAAATAACCATTTCTTAGGTTATTTTTAATTTGTCATTTAACTTCTTAAATCAACTTTCTAGTGGACTTATCACATTATTACCTTGTTTCACTTGGACATGTCATGTTATCTTTCGGTACACCTATTTTTAAAAGATTTATATCTTTGGACTTGACAGGTTGTTCCCCTTTTCAACCGTCATATTAAAGTACATATACCTTATTAGCTATTAGATGACACAAAAATTAGAAAATCAACAAAAAAGGACTTGTCATGTTTTTCCTACATATAATTTCATTTAATTTAATTGATTACATTTTTCCCATTTTTTCAAATTGAAATCTGTACGTTATAAAAAGTTGCAGATATTAAACAATCTAATTTTTATTTTCCAAATATTTATTAATAGTATGCTCATTTAAAAGGCGGCTTTAATAGTTATAAAATCTCTTAAGTGTTCGTTCATTGGTCCATTCACCTTAAGGTCATAGTACAAGCGAAAACATTGAACACTTACTTTTTTCATCGTCGTAATCGTCCCTGTAATGTACTTGTCCGTCGCCAGAGTCGCCATCGACATCCTCCCTGATTACGTACGGCCTCGCGTTCTCCTTGTTCTCCAACGTGCACGGTAAAGCGAGACCGAACCTGACCGGTCGACTACTGAAATAATCGTCGAGGAAAAATGGTAAAATATTAGTACGTTCATCTGATTATTATCGGATCGTCGAAAGGATCGACTTGGAAGACCACCATTTTCTGGAGAAATTTATCTAGATCTCGTTGAAACAAACATGAATGACTAAGAACTTCTGAATGACAGTAAAATCAGTAACATAATTACTAAACTGCTGATGTTATTAAACGATATGTTTGATAACATGAAATTAAACGAATCACATTGACTTAAGGGGTTAGACCACCTTGATGTGTTAAAAAAACATATGGCATTTTTGGCAATTTATTTCAAAATGACAAAAATACTTTTGGAATGATATTCGACCAGTGGAGTATTAAATGAATATAAGTTAAAAAAATAACGAAATGACAACGCTTTGATGCAGAAATTTTATTTTCTTTGCAAGAAAATGGCTTTTTATGTACGCATAAGAAAAAAATCGTACGTTGGTCGCTGGACAACTTAAATTTATTTAATATTCCATTAATCAAATTTTGTTTCAGAAACCTGCTCATCAGAAATCACCTACTACATATATGGTACACTTTCAACTGCTATATTTGCTTTTACTATTCATTCATCTCTGTCTTTATTGAAAATATTTGATCGAAAAAAGTCGTTTCGTCTCTTATACACAAATTGCCAAAAATACAGCATTTTATGAGCATAACAAAGCGGTTTAACCCCATAAGCGTTACAGTAAAAAGTTAAAAGATTCCTTAACTTAAAAAATTCATAAAAATACTTGAACCTTCTATTAGAGAATTGTCTAGAAAATATTAATATTCTATTTTATTGTTTTTTAACATCAAGCGCAGTCTAGTAATTACCATGTCACGAATATGAAACATTAGAAGTTACCAGAAACGCGATAAAATTTAATTTTTTCAAATGGTATGGTGGTGGACTGATTAAATTCCCTCGCTTAATTTCCCTCGAATCGATTCTTCCTTCGACCCGACCATTGCTGGTCGACGCTACCGTCGACCAATGTTCTACACACTACGTTTTCAAGTACGAGATGCACATGGAGGGGATGAAACAACGCCAGTGACAAAAGAGGGGGTGGTGGTGGTAGAAGGGTGGAGAATGCACGGTATGACGTTGATGAAGATAACAGAAGCAACTTGCGGGGCTCTGAAACCGACTCCGACGTCGTTCCGAATTGGGTTATCAACGACGTCGACGCAGATAACTGTTCTCTTCGCGACGTGAATCCTTTCTTTTTTTCTTTTTACCCCCGCGTTCAGAATTTGTCGAGAATTGCTTTGATAATATATGCAGAGAGAAAAACTGTTCCCGTTTCCTTTGGTGTTTCGCCGACGATCTTTTTTTTTCTGCATGGAAATCGAAACTAACGCTAACTGGACTCTGTCTGTTATCGTTTTCGTGAGATCAACGATCTATTAATATATTACAGGCGTGAATTAATACAGAGCGAATGTGGAGATAATCGTCGTTATTATTAAAAGGGTGAAAGGAAGGATATTTATACAGTTATGCGATCGTATGTGGACAGTATGTTCTATAAATAGAAATATAAAAAAAATGTGCAAGGTTCGAATAAGCTGTTAAAATAAAAAAAACTTAAAACATGCTAATAACGTCCTTCCTGTAAATTGACAAAATACTTTTAACCTGCTCATTGCATCTTTTTAGTATTTTGTACAAACATTTTTTTTAATAAAATCAAGAACCAATTTTAAACATTAGTATTTGAAAAATTTCTTAATATATCTATTGTTTTTATAAACAATTTATTTGCGCACGATAAATAACGGCACTATGTAGTAGCTAGAGTAACACTGTTTTTCTAATGTTTCGATGTCATTTGAAGAAGTTTCGTACTGCCGATCGTCAAGAAATGTTCCAAATATTGTCACTAAAGTGATAAAATAGGTATTCACTGGTGTAGAAAAGTGCAATTAGCGGGTTAACAGGAAAAAGAAATTTCCGTTTAACCTTTTCAACGTTATGAATGTATGTTATAAATTCTGAAAACTTGTTCACCGTGTGCTGTAAATTCACATTATGAACTCATATTGTGAAAAATTATCCAGCTTAACGCATGCTTTATCGCAGCCAGTAAGCGTACAATACACACACGTCATCGAACATCTTAGCGTTGAAAGGGTTAATGCCTTTTTCTATAAACCAAAGTTTAAAAATTTGCATTTCTTTGTTAGTATTACCACAAACGCGAATGAATTTTGTAAATTGAAAGTAGCAAATCTTCATATTTAATATCGTAGTTATGACATTTTAATACAGCGTTTTCGAACAAACATTTACACAAAATTTTTTCCTATGTCTATTAACAGAACGTAATGGCGTAGCTTGATTACTGAAGTATAAAACATCCTGTATAATCGAAAATTCTGAAGAAAAAACACGGTTTTTAACGGGGAGGAATAATATTAAAGGCCAAAAATCTTCTGCAATCAGATTTCATCTGACTCTGTACAAAAATATCAATAGGGGTTGAAACACATACATAAGCCAATAATAAAAACCGTAAAAAATCAAGACATAATAATAGACATGTACAGTATACACAACGATAACAGGAATATAAACAGCACAAAGGATTTATCAATATTACAGTAATCAAAAGGTTCGAATAACCTCGTGCAAAAATGTAGTAAAAAACGTGATCTGACGCCACCATAATCTCACATTCCAAAAAAAAAAAAAAAAAAGAAACTATACGAGAAAGAAGTCTTTCTCCCTCGATTTCGTCGCAGAATTCGAATCATAGGTGACACGATGAAAATAAAAAAAAAGAATACAAAATAAAGCATCAGGATATATCCTGATCTCTTGTTAAATTACACCGGAACGAACCGAGCCTGTCGTGGGAAGCTCGTTTCGTCGTCGTGGGATCGAGAATCCTCGTTTTCGTCGATCGATGGTTCGAGGTTCCTCAGGCGTGATAAAAGATCTGAATGGAACGTGGTGAAGCGTAGGTGATAATTCGTACAATGGGTTTTCCCTAAGGTTTTCTCATGCTTAAGGTCGCAAGTTTTTACCATGCTCACGGCGCTCGTCACGCTGACACACACAGAGAAAAACAGAGAGAGAGAGAGAGAGAGAGAAAGAGAGAAGGGTGGAAAATGTTGATAACAGGGTGATAAAAGAGTTTGGGTGTGGTGTGACAAAGAGAGAGACTAGATAAGACATTGTCTTATTCTCTGCGATCAAACGCCGTGGATAAGACAAATATTTATATGTACATATACGTTTACATTATACATATATATACATATACTGTGTTTATTCACGCGCATGCTTAGTTAGAGCAATGCCCAATTACCATATTCTCATCCTAGGCCTCAACGCTGGCCTTCTGGTTAAGCATAAGAAAAATACGACACTTTACTCGTGACTGATACATGGTGATGGAAGTATGCGCGGTTTATGTGGAGCATCGTTCTCGATCCCTTCCGTATCTGATCGATTAAATGCTCGTTTGATTGAAATACTATCTGCCAGGGGTAGGTACATACCATTAGAAGTAGATATCGCTGCTTGGTATTAATAGTGGTATAACTTAAACAATTTTAAATTTGATTCTATTGGATACCAAAGTCTACGTTGTGTTTGTATTTTTATTATGTAAAATGGAATATTTTGTAATTCTATCAGTTTTGCGGCGTAAGGTAATTATGGCGCTATCAACCTTGCCTTACAAGGGAATATACCGAATCTGCACACGCCGACTTTAATGAAATTTTTACGGTAGATAGTTCGCTAAAAAATATTTCATATGTATTCTTTTATCGGCTATCGTCCATGCTGAGAGGGTGATAAACAGCCCTCAAAGTTGAGGGATGAAAATATATTTTTTGGAAGATCTCAGAAACTATAGAGATTAGGAAAAAGTTTTTCTTTAAAAATTGTGTATTTTTGAATGGGGAATTTAGTCACATAAGAAAATTAAACCAAAACTTCAAATACTTAATATATCATTTAAACTAATAGTTTTGTCTTCGTTTTTCTTATTAACTAAATTCCCATTCAAAAACGCACAATTCTTAAAAAAAATAACTTTTTCCTACTCTCTCTAATTTCCTGTTATCACCCCCTCAATATGGACCATGGCCGATAAAAGGAATACGTGTCAAATATTTTTTTGGAAAATTGCCTCCTACATAAGTTCCCTTATTAGTTTCACGAATGTAAATTTTATAAAGCCCCTTCCCTAAAATTTACATTTTCTTAGTTGCGCCACAATCCATGCCAAACAGCGATATCATATTCGAAACACCGAAATTCACTTCTCCGAAAAAAAAAAAAAAAACGGAGTCTACCAAAGTATGCACATCGAGCGTAAAATAACCGAAACGAGCGCGATGCTGGGTCCGATCTGAACAGAAATGATCGGTAGAAATTGAGAGAAAAAGAGCGAGAAGAGAGAGAATGCAGGGAAGAGACGATGCACGTGGGCGTGAACGAAATGACAAGTCTAGAAGGTGAAGAACGATGTTCCAGACCAGCCGGCCTCTTCAGGGTTTCGAGACGTTTTCATTAAAGCCCGTGGTAATTAAACTCCCGGAATCGTCACGGTCTTTCACCGTCGTCCATTAAAACCGTCCGAGAGGGAGACGTTTAAACTGGGAATAGAATCGAATCGAGAATGGCAATTATCCCGTTGGTCGGTTCCGACGCCTTCGAACCTTGAAGGAAGCCCAATAACTTCGCGACAGAGTCCTGTATTTCCGACGATAGAAAGGCTCGTTGACTTTTTCTGGATCGTTAACGAAGACGCTGAAATTGTATACAAGGTGTTCAAAGAAAAATTGTCTAAGAATTCAGGTGCTTATAGTATTCACCGAATTGTGCAAATAAATGTCTAGTCAACATACGTTCTAAAAAGAGTTATTTTGAAAACAAATACGAAAGTTTGTTTTTCCATTGGTTAGAGATGTTCCATACGTCTTCCTTCTATTTTATATAAATTCCATTTTATTTTAATTCTATTTTATTCAACTTTTATTTCGTTACGATTTCATTTCATATTACTTCTAATTCATTAAAATTTTATTTCATTTCAAATTCATTGTATTGTCTGTTGTCATGCAAACTTGAATTAATGTACTTGTAAACAACATTTTTGTTTATACATTTAATAATGTTGCATAGAGACTCGCTTACAATATCGAACGCTCATAAATGTGAAAGTTAATTTTACACCGATAGGATTTGATTTTAGGGACTACGTTTATTAGACATTTTTTACTCCACTCGGTGAATACTATAAGCCTCTAAGGCCTTCGACTGTTTTTTTGTACACCCTGTATGATACGAAACACATCCACAATGTAAGGTCCGGTTAGCAAATAAAAAAAGACAGTGAAAAGAAAGAAAAATGTTGAATTATGCTGAACAATACCTACATGCAGTCCTGGACACGAGTCACCGGATACATGGCTGTTCTGAGGAAAAATGAAAACTGAAACGGAAACGTAATGTGTACATCTTCGGCGTCATTTAACCCTTTCATTCTCACTGTTACCATATGACTACGTATTCTAAATTATGCAATAAAATATTAGTATTATGTATTTTTTCATATCTGTGAGTATATAATAGAATCTTCTGGTCTTGTATAAATGGTATGGAACAAATTTAAATGTACATTTAAAATCTTATGGATAAAGTAAGACATTGTTGGTTCTTTCTCTTATTCATTTGATGGAATTTAAGTGTTGAGCATCGTTACAAATAAAATAGAAACTTACAAAACTGGAATTTTCTTTCATACATGTCAAGAAGGTTTATTGATTAAAGGTAAGAAATATTGGGTTTTGTTGCGAATAATAATATTACGATGAGAATTATTATACAGGGTGTTTCGCTTAAAACAGGCCATCTAAATATCTTCTCTATCTGTGTTCATACGAGAAATATTTGTTACGTTATTTAAATGGTTTCAAGAAACGAATCAGATGGTGGAACAAATTATATAAGTAAATTAAACATTTTTAAAGTTCAGGGTCATTTCAAGATCATACTACTATATATGGATAAATGCATAATAATGTTGGCTATAACGTACAAGAAAAATTATGTGTATATACGTAAAAAAACATCGGTGACCTCGAAAAAACCAATAAAAAATGTTTGCCGTCATTCGATTCGCCTCTTGAAACCATTTAAATTACGTAAAAAATATTTCTGGTATGATCACAGATAGAGAAGATATTTAGGTGGCCCGTTTTAAGCGGAACACCCTGTATATAACTGTGATAAAAGTGAAAAAGTTGTCAAATGGTAACAAATGAAAAATGCTATTAGACAGTTTCCAAAATGTTAAAATGTTTTTGTGAATCATTTGTATGTCGTCTAATATATACAAAAATATAAAAAAATATTTCTTTGGTAATTTTTAAGTAATTTGGGAATAAAAGAGTCAACATATTTCTTTCTTTTCACTGGCTCTTTTAATTGTTGATCGGACCTTACTTCAGCGGATGCACTGCTTCGAAGAAATTGTGAAGTCATCGAGTCTTTCGATATTGAATGAAAAGATTGACGTGAGAATTGTGATTCCACTAACTTGAACGACGCGTGTAGCTCCTGACGAAGCGTCAACGGCCTGTTCTCCTGCGTTGGAGTGTTCTGCGGCGTCCCCGGTCCACTTCCGGAACTTCGTTTCTTCAGCACGCTCTTGAGGGGCACCGCATGAAATTTAGGCTCCTTCGCTGGGATTTCCTCGACCCTGGACGTGTCGATCGCAGGATCCGGCTGAGCCATTCGGAGCACGTACATGTTGTCCTCTTCCTCCACGTCGAAGTCTTCCTCGTCTTCTGAAATCGACAAAGAACAGACGGATGTAGAACGGAAGATATATTGTCAAATGCGATTGTAAAATACCAGGGATATTCTAGAACAGCGTTTCTCAACCTTTTTACCGCGCGACTCAACATATTTGTTTATAACGGTACCGCGACCTAAATTATCATAATATAACATTTTTCAAAACTTGGTGGTAGATTGGTATCAGTGTGTATTATATAAATAACTAAAATTCTGTATATTTGAGAATAAATTTTACATGTGAATAGTAAGATTCAGTACATTCCTACTGAGAGCAATTCAGATGAATTTTGATTTACAACAAATACACTACAATTTCATTCTTCCTTACTTATATTTAACTATAAAAACATGCAAGACTAATAATTTTATATAAAACAGGCTGTTTTTCTATTTGGTACAAAGTAGCAGTTATTATTTTGCTACCCATTAAAAATTTAACGCGACATGATATTGTCTTGCAACTTATAGGTTGAGAAACTCTGTTCTAGAATACCGGAAACATTGTTGAATAACACTGTGGAATTGAAGGAATTTTGTAGATTGTAACTGAGCAAATAAGAATTGTGGGAATATACTCTGCAAGAAAATTCAGAGGATCAAGTCGACGTATGGTCAGCCAGCCTCACAAGGGAATTACGATAATTAAAAAATTTCAATATTTTGAAACTGCAGGTATGTGGGGGCCCCCATCTGAAGAATGAGGCATCTTTTTGCTACTTTTTGATTCTATAGGGTAAAAACACCCCTTAATGGATAATGTGTGTTTTCCCATTTTCCTATATATCTTGAAAACTACGGTAGATATAAAAAAATTGTTAGAATAAAAGTTGAATGGGTTTCCGTGGTTAAGAAAACTGTGCCATGAAATTCTTAAAAATGTATCGTTTAAATAAATAAATAAATGGATAACCAAATGATTAACAATTTCATTGCATAGTTTTATAGACCACAGAAAGCCATTAAATTTTCATTCTAACAATATTTTCATATCTCTTCAAACACACATAATCCATTAAGGGGCGTTTTCACATATAACAAAGGATGAAATATTTGTTCACTTCACGGCAAATCCCTATTAGCGATGCGTAGTACGTAAAGGGTTGAATGGAAATAAATAAAAACGGGCATGTATCGTTTTTTATGTACCTTCGTCCTCGTAATCCGACGACAATGGATTCCGTATCTGTCGTTGCTTGGCCAGTAACAGAGTAGGACTCGAAGAACTGAACATCGGCGGGGGCGGAATGGGCCCGATCTCGCTCAGTGGAATCGGCGGTTCCGGAAGCTCCGAGAGCATCAGCGTGTTTTGAGGCGGGAGAGGGTAACACCTCTCGATCACCTGCTGGTTTTCGCCGCTTTGGTCTAGGACCCCCTTCTCCACTGCAAACAAACGGAAACTCATTAGAATATCAGATCGTGATCCTTAACATTAGGTTTACGGACATTTCTTATACTCCTATCTCTACGGACACGCGTCAACGAAATCGCACATTTTGTTTAAAAATCAACTTTCTTAATACTCAATTTACGATAAAGTTTCCCTTTTGAAATACCTAAAAATTGCACTAAATGTAGAAATAAATCGTATTAAAGTTATTAAAACATAACGAAGCATTGATCGTTATAATCAAGCCTTCGTTAGGATTAAATGATATTTCATTTTATTTAGAATAAATTTCAATTGTTGAAGATTTATGTAGTTCATTATATGTTGCGTTACAAACATTTTGTGCCCTCTCCCCACGCTATTAAACCAAAGGGGCCCACGAGGGTTTAAAAGCCTTGAGCTACAAGAAACCTTAATCTGGGTTTGATTGAAATACTTTATTTGAAAAAAATTATTTTTATTTAACAGATTGACTGCCAACTAGATAATTCGTCATTGAAAGTTTTCTACAGGTGCTCACTACGAGTATACTCGTACATGATTGTCTACTATTAAAAGTCTTGTACGAGTTAATTCGTAGCGAATAAATGTAGTTGGTATGCTGCTAGTGTCCTGAGACAGGAATGAAATATGATCGTGGCGTCAGGGACCGGCTTCCCAAAAATAGCGTGTCAGTCAACGTGTTAAAGTTGGTTTATCTATTCTATTTACTTGACGCGTGAAATTATTGCTTCTGATAATATTTATGGGGCACATCGTGTGGTAATGTTGGTTTGAACAACGTGGATTCTGTTGTAATATTGGCAAGTATGAAAGTCAAAAGCAGTTATAATTTAAATGTTTCTCTATCCTGTTGATCGATGGGTAAGGTGTTGTAGTATAGTTAAAATCAGTAAGAAGAACGTACGACTAAATAAAAAGCATAAAGTAATCCATTGTCTATGTCAAAATTATTAGGTATACAAATTAATTGGTGGCCTACTTTTCATAGATTTGTTGTTTATTTACAAAAAACCAAAATACAGTCCTGTTTTGATAATATTCCCCATCAGTTTCTACACATTTATGCCATTTCTCGGGTAGTTGATGAAATCTCTGACGAAAACATGATGGCGGTTGTACGTTAATAATTAATTATTGGGGCCATTAATTAATTTATACACCTAATATTTTCACTTTAAAAATTACATTCACCTCCAAAAGATCCATCACTACATCCAAAGAAAACATTGTCCTAGAAAAACAGTGTGTCGACATTCCAATTCTTGTGCCACGTAAACATTTTCATTGAACCAGTTTCGCCAACATTCCCTCGCGGTTACAATTCGATTTCGAGAACGATCTCGAGTATTTCGGGAAACATGATTCACCCAGGGAGCACGGTCCGAAAGAAAGCTTGGCACGGTCAGTGCTGGGTAATCAAAATGTTCAAACGTGTTTTTTTTTTTTTGACGAGGGAGTTTGAACGGTTTCAGTACAGACGAGATATAAGGATAGACCTAACATGCAATGTAATTTTCTGTGTCATGCTTCGGGGGCGTCACAACGTTTCATCAAACCGACTGTAACATTTCATCATAATTGTTTGAAAGGTGCAATCAAATTTTTTATCAAACTATTTGAAACGTCTTATCAAACTGTTTGGAACGTTTCATCAAATTACTTGGAACGTTGTATCAAACTATTTCAAACGTTTCATCAAACCGATTGAAACATTTCGTCAAATTATCTGCAATCTTTCTTAAAAATGCATCGTCAAACTGTTTGAAACGTTATATCAACCTGTTTGATAAGTTGGAAACCGATCTTGTTTGAACTGTTTAAACTCCTCGCCAGATGTTTACATCGAACATATTCGAAACAGTTTGTTCGCGTACTCATCACGAGGCACAGTCGATGTTCTCTAGTCACCGTGATGAATTACGAAATTCCATCCTGGAGGTTTTTACCCACGAATCCCTCCCCGACTCTCGGCGTTCCATGCTCGTTTTTTATCACGGTGTATCATATCTGGCCGCGGTTCATTTGTCACGCGACACGCAACCCCCCGCGTAAAGTGTAATAAACGAGTGTGGCAGTGTCACGAAATTGCGTGATATTTGCATAGCTGTACGGAGATTCCACCTGAAATTCAGGATTCCCGTTCTAAATTGAAATTTTTTCATACTTGGGGTTTAATTAAAGTACGCGCCATTCTGGAGTCAGACAAACGAACCTCGATGTTCTTATAATAGTGTGCAGAAAATTACATAAAAGAAACGTTATTTTCTTTTAAATTAGCCTTCGTATGACTTTTACTAATTAACGTTTTTATTCATTTTATGAGTGAGCAATCTGAGCTAATTTTTTTATCTGTACTTACTCCTGAATTATTCGCTTTCATTTCCTATATTTGCTAATCTAAAAATTCCTGTTCGGTTATATTGTAGTACTTGTTATTACATTTATTTAGGGAAATCAGATAGTATTTACACGTTTTTAATCGAATTTAATCTTGGGTTTAACGTGCTTTAATCGAAAAAAATCTTCAACAGTTTCAACGGTTATTATATATCACAGTCTAAAGGATTCCGTCACTAATTTTCCGTTTTTTTGTTTGGTAGCTTGTTATCTGTGTAAAAGACTTAGTTTCAGCAGTTTCTTTGAGCTACATGATGCCTTTTCATGCGTTGCAGCTAACATACATTTTTAATTACTGTAGTCTCAAATATGCGAAAGGTTAGTACAAATTATGTTAATACCTGTATGGATAGAAGATGAATTTGTTATTAATAGATCACGGATATGTATGCATTTGTAATTTCTAACTTGGAAAACATTAGCATTATTTACATGCCGCTACTAATTTATTGATACTCCCAGTGTACCGAATAAAAGTTTGTTCAATTTTCATTCTTATAAATTTCACATCAACATCCACAGTATATTTCTCAAATAACATCTGGCAGCAACGAATGATTTTGCGTATAATCGATAACATAATTTTCGCTAATAACTTTCATGTTGCATGGGATATGACCCAATAATTTTGGATGATATTTCTATATTTTTTTTCTTTTGTATCTAAATGAAAGAAAATTAGAAATGAAACGCAGAACACCTATATTCCAGCGATATTACTCTATCTACACGGAAAATTCATGTTTCAACTATTGTCGTCTCCACGAGAAAACAAAATGCAATACGAATTCCAGCATTTATTTTTCGCAGAATTTCGAATAAAATTGTGTTTAATATTTCGGTAGGCAGAACTTCGACGGATGCTTCAAATTTCTCAGAGTTTCTGTTATCGAACAGTCAACCGGCCTCGTGAAGCAATTTCCAACTCGACAGGGTTGTTAATATCGATCGCGGAGGGCCACTTATCGTTAACGCTGCCTCTTCGAGCGCAGTTAGGCTAGCAATCGAGTCGTACCGGTCTATAAATAAAAATGTACCTCTCGAAGAAGATCGTAAGTTCCCTCGAATTTACAATCCGGGAGATGTCTCCTCGATACTGAAACGCAAAATGGTGTTCCTGTTCGTTTAAACTCGAATTTATGGACGTTCTTGGTGTGTTTTTATAACGACGACATGAAATCTGAAGTATTCTGCTGCTTTCCGATGGGAAGAAATTTATATCTTGAAGTTACATCTGTTTTGTTGATCTGGTTCTATTTTCGTACCATTATGCGAACTAATTAAAATTTTACTTCTCGTTAACGAAGTAATTTTTGTTCAGGTACGTTATAGATATTCGTAATTGTCATATTCATGCAATTTCATCTGATAGAAAGAAGAAAATCAGATTATTTGTTGATATATCTTTGTGGCAGAAACGAAAGTGTGAATCGTAAAATAACATCGTTCTACATAGTTATCAAATTTTACAGATTTCATGAAATTGTTTTCGAAGTAAGAAGTTTATAGGAAATGAAATGAAATGATACAGATTTTACACGATACACTTAATATTTTCTGTTAGGTACAACGAATTAACGTAATTGATTCTACTCAGTTACTTATTCTTAACAATCTATGCAAGTATAATTGTTGCTAAGCTACGTCTACATAACCGAACTATCATTAAATAACCATTTGAAGCTCATCCTTCAACAGTCTGTCCATGTAAAATTATCCAAAAATAAATTGATTCTAATTCATAATTACTATAATTATACATAAAAAAACATGTACATATATCAATTTCCACCATTATCATTAAATATTTAATTCGTCCCAAGTTATACAATCGATAAATGTAATAGAAATATTGCCAATATACAGAGTGTTTACTCTAAACGGAATTCACGATTTCTCTGCTGCCTGCGACAATGTAATTAAAAAAAAAGTTATGAATCCAACCAGTACAGAACATGGAATTTTTATTCAAATGATATTCAGTTTACAGCAGTTGAAGTAGTAGAACAAAAAGAAGCACAAAATCGAAGCTCGCTACGCTTCAGCTGTTCCGAGGGCCATCGCATTCGTTCCACTTCAACTGCTGTAAATTTAGTATTGTGTGAATAAAAGTGTCCTACTCTGTACTGGTTGAATTCATTTGAACGTCCTCTACGGTATAATGGAGAAAAATTATATAGTTCTATTTAACAGAAACCCAAGGTCATCTTGGGTTCCCTGTGAAAAAAATGTACTTTCGAAATATTTGTGTACGATTATACGTTGCCAATTTAAATTAAACGGCTGAAATATCGTGGACCCCCTTAAAATGAATCCTCCGTAGATAACATTATATTATATATATCATTAACTATTTTTCAATCGAATATTTAATAATAAATAATCCCACCTCATATACCATTCAGACCAGAGGCTTACAGCAGCAGTGAAATGCCTGAAAATTGATGCAGCTACAAAGAGTCTCGAAGAAAAGAGGGCTCAAAACGCACGTGTCACGGAAACCTTCTTTCCGGGACGTGTTCTCGATTCCTCCCTCATTTTTCAAGACCGATAGTGCTCTCCAAATGATGCAATTTCTTCGGGTACGCGAGCC